GTTTAGGGTTTTGGGTTTTGGTTTAGCGTTTAGGGTTTAGGGTTTAGGGTTCAGGGTTTAGGGTTTAGGGTTTAGGGTTTAGGGTTTACGCACAAGCGCTGAGTTCAGAAAAGCAGCCCATTTTTTCCAAAGCTAGTATGTACATGTATGAAGACATGGTGATATAAGGACGTCTCAACCCCGTGAAAGCTACAAATCTTCGCCTTTGAACTTCATCCCAAACCGGCCTGAACCCAAAACCAAGCCTCAGATTATGGAATCCTTTTAAGGGAGGGGGTTCAAAGGGGGGTATATAACCCAGTAATCCCCAATTCTCCCCAGTACTCCCTTAGGTTCCCTAAAGCTCCCTAGGACCCTCCCCCCTTGAGCCCTAAACCCTGAACCCTAAACCCTAAACCCTGAAACCCTAAACCCTAAACCCTCCCTTAAGGATCCTATAATCAGAACACGTCGTTATGCTCCCTTAAGGATCCTATAATCAGAACACGTCGTTATGAGGACGGCGGCCGAGGACGTGTACGATTCGCGGGGCTGCTTGGAAGGAAATTATGCATGCGGGTTTAGGGTTTAGGGTTTAGGGTTACTATAGCTAGGTTCCCCAGTATTACCTTTTTGCCCCTTTTTCGTTTGGGCTCTCTTAATGAAACCAAATAGTAGGAAAAATGGTACCCGGTACCCTTATTATTCAGGGGCCACTGGGGAACCTAGATTCCAGAATCTACGAAAAAGGCGGGGCGGGGTGGCATAAAGATCTGAAAAAAAGGGTGATTGAAAGTTTGAGGTTTATAAACCCTAGACCCTAAACTCTTAACTCTGTGCCCAAAGCTCTGCAGCGTAAACCCCCAAAGCTTGAACCGAAGCCGCAAGCGTAAAGTCTAATCTCGCGAACCGAAGCCCCCAATCCCAAAGATTAAATGCCAACGCCGAAAACTGAAACCCTTGCTAATATAGGGGCCTTAATCAAGACAAACACCATCGGGTCTGCCTTATTTTATCTATAGTATAATGGCCCCAAAACCCTATTCTAATTATTAAGGTCCCTGCAGTAGTCCTAGCAGCCCTTGCAGGAACCGGTTGAAAACCCTAAACCCTAAACCCTAAACCCTAAACCCTAAACCCTTGAGCCCCAAAGCCTCCGCAGGTTATGCAGTTCGGAAGGACTGGGTGAATGGACCAAACAAGGTCTTCCGCTTCGTCCTCAGCTTCTCGGCATCTTCACAACAAGGCTTAGCGTTAAAGATTTAGGGTTTAGGGGCCTAAACCCAAAAGCTTTTTGCTTTTCGTTCGTATAGCAGGGTTCAGGTTTCTAAATGGTTGTAGGTATAAAGTGCTACAATAGGGTTTCTATGCGTTTTGTATAATAGGTGTTTTTGTTAAGTTGTAGGGGTGTGCTTTACTAGTTACTTGCTGCAGCTCTACAGTTTCTTCTCAGGCTTGTTAGTAGAGCTTAAGGCTTAGGGTTTAGGGCCAGGGTTTCGGTTCTTCCCCCCCTCCAAAAAGTATTTTCAGGCTTAAGGGTTTTCTGCACTAGCCCAAACCGCAGCAGCCTGACAGGAAAACAGACGTGCCACAGCCAAGGAAGTTTTTTCGATGGAGGCTACGCCTCCAACTATTCTTCTTTCTTCTTTATGGCGTCTTGGCCTGTTTCGATGGTCTTGAACATGCACAGCTGCTGATGCCTCTGGATCGGCATCTCTCTCCCTTGAGCGGCAGAGTGACCACGCGCAGTTCTATGATTACCACTCCCCTAAATCCAAAAGCCCTAAATGGGCAGTTCTCTAAATTAGGATCCCTTTTTAGGTCCCCAATATAATACGGCACCCTTATAAAAAGGACCCTAAAAGGGACCCTAATTTAGAAAACTGCCCAAATTAAGTTCCTAATTCCCTAGACCCTGAATCCCAGAAGCCATAACGGCCTTTGGAAGAGAACTCCAACACCAGTCATCCTACACCATAGACCCTAAACCCCACACTCCAAAACCCAGACCCTTAACCCTGAAACTGTAGGTATCGCATCTGAGGAGTTAGATGCCGTTCCTCTTCAAGCGTTCTGGTTGGACCAGTTTGCCCGGGAAGCTCTTTGCTACCCTACTGCGGCGATCCGGGGCAGTCGTTATCTAGGCTGGTGAGGGCTCAGGGTTCGGGCCCATAGCCCTCAACAACCCTAAACCCAAGACCCTCAAAAACCCAAAACCGTAAACCCTAAACCCAAAACCCTCAGAAACCCAAAACCCTAAACCCTAAACCCTAAACCCTCAAAAACCCAAAACCCTAAACTCTAAACCCTCAAAAATCCAAAACCCTAAACTTCAACCCCTAAACCCCAAACCCTAAACCCTAAAACCCGCTTTACTCTGGGCTCAAGGCTTTTTGACCCCTTCTGCTCTCTGTCGCCTGAGACAAGGGCAGTTCTCTAAATCAGGGTCCCTTTTTGGGTCCTTTCAGGGTTTAGGGTTTAGGGTTCCTTAAAGGGGTCTAAAACGGTTACTTTAAGGGTTCTATGAGGGCAGTTTCTCTAAATCAGGGCCCCTTTCTGGGTCCTCTTTATAAGGGTGCCGTACTAGATTGGGGACCTATATTGGGGACCCTACTTCAGAGAACTGCCCCATATAGCACCCTTATAGAAACCCTATAGAAACCCTTATGGATCCTTAAACCCTAAACCAAAAACCCTAGGGTTTAGGGTTTAGGGTTTAGGGTTTAGGGTTTAGGGTTTAGGGTTTAGGGTTTTAGGCCCTAAGCCCTGAACCCTAAGAGGGATCCTAATTCAGAGAACTACCCACAGGCCTCTGAGAGCTATCAACCCCATCAGCCCTCAGCTCTATCCATACCTTTTAGGGTTTAGGGTTTAGGGTTTAGGGTTGAGGGTTTAGGGATCCATAAGGGTTTCTATAGGGTTTCTATAAGGGTACTATATGGGTAGTTCTCTGAAGTAGGGTCCCCAATATAGGCCCCATGGTAGTTCCCTTTTGGTGTTCACGGAATCCTATTAGGTAATCCCCAAAAAGGAAGTACTATGGGGCCTATGGGTAGACCCTACTTGGAGTTTTGGGGTTTAGGGTCTAGGGTTTAGGGGTTTAGGGGTTTAGGGGATTAGGGTTTAGGGGTTTAGTGTTTAGTGTTTAGGGTTTAGGGGTTCGGGTTTAGGGGTTTAGGGTTTTGGGGGTTTAGGGGTTTAGGGTTTTAGTGGTTTAGGGGTTTAGGGTTTATAGGCTTCAGGGGTTTAGGGGTTTAGGGGTTTAGGGGTTTAGGGTTTATAGGGTTCAGGGGTTTAGGGCTTTAGGGGTTTAGGGGTTTAGGGGTTTAGGGTTTAGGGTTTCGGCTTGGTGGGCCAATTTTAAAGCTACTGTGATCTCAGCGCTTTTTTTGTAATATGTTATCCTACAAGCCTTAGAAAGCCAGCATTAGATCATGTTTGTTGCAATATGCTGCTGTATCGTTTTATAAGTTTTATATCATGCATGCTGCATATTACGTTCCATTCGACTGTATTTATAAACCCCAAACCTATATCGGACAGATCTAGGGTGGTTAGGGTTTAGGGTTTAGAGGGTGTCTGAAGAAATTGGGTTTCTTCGGATGGAGGGGGGGGGGTTTTGGGGCTGAGGGTTTGGGGTATATGTCTTTTCTGGGTGCATTCAACTTAGGAATCAGATAGCACCCGATCAAACCTCCGGAAACTTGCCTCAACAAGTTGTGGTTTAAGTGTTGTTGTCATTTGTTTTTAAATTTTGCGTTTTTCGCTGCGGGGTCAAGAGTATTGATTCACAGTGAAATTTGGCCTTGTGGTCAAGCTTTGCCAGAAGGACCCGGTTAATGTAGAGGTCAGAGTAGCAAGTTAGTACCGGTGTTCCCTTAGCGTCCCTACATTACCTTTCTATCAGGGTTTCGATTTTAGGGTTTAGGGTTTGATCCTCCATCCTAAACCCTAAACCCAAACCCCTAAACCCTAAACCCCTATACCCTAAACCTAAACCCTAAAAACCCCTGAACCCTATAAACCCTACCGTCCGATCTTATTCCACGTATCAACTCCCCTGCATTACATCTGGGCCTGGCTTGGTTAAGCGAAAAGTTAGGGTTTAGGGTTTGGGGTTTAGGGTTGGCCTGGCCAGCGGATTGCTTCATATCCCGCTTTGAAACTAAACATGGGAGTTTCCGAAAATTAGGGTACCTTGTTTTGGTGTCCTTATAATAAGGATCCTATTATTTAGGGTACTATATTAGGGTCCCCTAATTGTGCCCCGTGGGTCCTGTTTGTTACGATTCTGCGAGGGGGCGGCGGCGGGGGCCTGTGTTCTACGAAACAAGGAACAGGTCAAACTTTCGTCCTACCGCAAGATTTGTGGCCGATGCTGTTGTCTCAGCCCTCTCTGAAACTTCTACGAGGGGGCGGCCATCATCATGCAAACTGGAAAATGCCTTCTTGGTTCTAGAAACAAAGCCCCAAAGCCTTAACACCCCTAGCTCCCTAGACCCTAAACCCTCACACCCCAAAGGATGGCAATAAACCGAACAATGAATCTGGCTCTTCTACTCGGAACTTGCAGCCTACTGAGAGACTTTTTGTGCTGCTTGTGGTAGAACCCTAAAATCTAAACCCTAAAC